ACTTATATATAAAATTTATTTAAGAGAGATAAAATATAAAAAAATAAATATAATTATTATATTTCTAATAAATAATATATTATTTTATTCCGTGTATAACACGGGTGATAGGTTAATTTAGAGGTTGTTTGGGGTGTCCTAAATAAGTGTACTTTTTGTCTTTTTAGACTAAAAAGTTAAGGAAAAAAAGATGGATATTTGAGTCAACTTTTTGACTTTTTACAAAAAAAATATGTATTAAAAAATTGTATAAATAAGTGTGTAGGAGAAGTATAGTGGAGTAGGTGTACAATTTGGGCAGGGTGGTGGGTTGGTTAAGAGATGAGAAATGATTGCCTCCTTTTCGGGCTTGAATTAGATGGTGTTATTCGGCTTGTGGGGGCTCACCACAGGTCCCGTTTTGCTAATCGAACCGTTCAATGTGTAGAACTCGTCGAGTACTATATGTTTGTAAAAAATCACATTGATTAGATATCGATAGCTATCTGATCGTGTTAGTTTTCTTTTGTCAACTGCTACCTATAACACCATCTTTTTTTATACAAAACTGATTTGATCATGTAGTTAGCGATATCCGATCAACGTGATTTTTTATAAGCATATAGTTTTGGATGAGTTCTACATATTGCACGGTTCGGATTATCAAAACGGGACCCGTGGTGAGCTCCCACGGGCCCAACATTATCGTCCAACTTAATAATTTTTTTCCCCTGTTACAGTACTAAAGGGGTCAAGTCAGTCTTGAAAACGGTGTAAAGTTAGTTTGATTAAAATATTATTTATATTAATTTTTTTATATTTTTTATTTGTAAATAGTGATAATTTTTTTTTTTTTAACTTTTGACTTTTTAATTTTTTTTTGGAAACAACTCAAACCAGGCCTTAATAAGAAAGAAAAGAAGAGATGAGGCGGGAGGAGAGAGAAGAAGACAAAAGAAAGAGAGAAAAGGGAGAGCAAGGGTGACGAGAGGATAGAGAGGACTATCCCATCATTATAAATACTCTTTCTCATTGACCCATACGTACACCAACCATGACCTAATCAAATACCAAACAGCTTAGTAGGTGTTTGGAAAATAAATTTTTATGTATATTTTTTTAATTATAGGATATTATTGGAGAAATTTTTTTTAGTATTTGAAAAGATAATTGAATTTTTTTGTGATTAAATATGATGTTTATGAAAGAAAAAGTGAAATAATTATGAGGTTAGATGTGATATTTTGTTTAAATTTGTTTTTTTAATTTTGTAAAAATTTTGCCTTTTAACGAAAAAAATAAAAAAAAACCCAAATTTTTTCCCCCAAACACCGCCTTAATCACATCATTACCATTATCTCTCTTCTCTCTCATCTGCACTTGCCAATTTTTCAAATTTCATAGTGAAACGTAAACCACTTTTTTATCACTATTTTTTTTAATAGAACTTAATTTAAATTTTGAACTCAATATATCAAAAATAAATAAACAATTTTTCACACAATCATTTTTTTTAGCAAAATCACTTTTTTTAATAGCGTTACACTAATAAATATAAAGATTTTTAATGATGTTAAGTCCCTGAATAAATAAAAATACTTTATTTTTATATTTTTTTAATAAACATGTCCAAACAGTGTGCAGTGAACAACTATTCAAATAGATTAATTCGTATCCAATTCAATCCTGTATGAAAATAAATTATCTACTTAATATAAAAATAATATCCTTTCTCATAAAAATATATGAAAATAAATTTATATTATAAAATTTTAAAATATTATACAACATATTTTGTATTACTTTGCCTCCGTTTGGGAAGTGGGTTGGCTTTTTGGCTTTTTTGGCTATTTTAGCCTGGACTAAAAAGTTTGGTTTGGGAAGGGCTTTTTGGCTTTTTGGTTTTTTTGGCTTTTTTGGCTTTTTTTGTGAGAGAAGAATGTAATGATTATGGGTTGGATGTGATGTTTTGTTTTTTGTGGCTAAAATAGCCTATTTTGTCTTTTGTGGCTAAAATAGCCAAAAAAGCCCCGTTTAGCTCTTGCCAAACGGAGGCTTTATGAGGTGGGATTGAGTGGGAATTCTTGAAAAAGAAAAGCAGACTCACGTGGGTCGTCCCTAGTGGCGTAGCCAATAATTTAGTAGAGAGGTGACACGAATTAATGACAATATTAATTTTTTTTTCTTCGTAATAAATAATAATAAGATATTATTAAATTTAAATAGTAAGAGTTCATTTGGATAAATGTAAATTTTGAATTAAAGGATTTGAGATTAAATTTTATACTTGAGGAGTAATTATTTTATAGGTGGATTGGAAATTTAAAAAAGAATATAAGTTGAGATAGAAATGATATATTTTAGTAGAGAAATTCTATAAAACATACCACAAAAAAGTGTATCATATGCCGCAATTATGTTCTTCGCGATTTTTAGTTATAACACATTATAGTGTTAGATATAATTTAGTCATAATTTCTTCTCGTTGCTATTTTGGTTATGACTATTTGGTTCTGATATTAATTATGACCTATTATAATTTTTTTTATTTTCTTTATTTTTCATAATTGAAGATGTGTTGCTTAATTACAATTTATATAGTGGTCATTTACGTTATGAATGGAAAGAAACACGTAGAGGATAAACTTAAATGTAACTAACAATCCAATAAATTCGATATCTTCATCGAAATAAATTATGTTTGCATGTCAATAATGATAAATATCACCATTTTATTAAAATTTTTATAAATAATAATATGACTTATTATAGTCTTTTTATTTTCAATCAAAATAATCATTATTATTCTCCTAATTTTAAAATGCCATTGACATTTCACTTTAAATAATATTTTTATAATTTCTTAAAAAATGCTTGTGACTCTTAAAGTTAGAGACCCCATGACCCCTAAAATGATATGGATTAATCATGTATTTTGTTTTTTTTCTTTCCTTCCTGAACCAATCACATATGAGTGAGAGTTGCAGGGGTTGTGTTTTTTAACGGTTTGTAGTATTATTACTTTTTCTTTTCTTCTTCTTCTTCTTCTTCTTCTACTTCTTTTTGTTTTTGTTTTTTTTTTTAGCAAAGAGCTCTCTCTTTCTTCTTTACATCTCTCTCTTCCTCTTTGAACTCCATTGTTGCTCAAGTTTGAGTTTCCAATGGGAGTCATAACCTAGTTAATGAAAATTCATTAACTCAGAACATTCATTAAAACACATTACAAATCACAAATCCAAATCCAAATCCTAGAAACACAAATCCAAGCACATACCTAATCAACATAAATAAATTTTTTTTTTTTCAATTTACTCCTAAAACTAACTTCTATTAAAAATTAAACAGAAAATAACACATTCACAATCACCTGGCATAATAATATTTTATTATATATAACTCACACCACTAACACAAATTCAAACCCTAATATAATAATATATTTTGTATGTTATGTGACAATTATTGTGATATTTCATGTCTAATTTTAAACAGAAGTTAATTTTAAGAGTAAATTGAAAAAAACTTAAAATATAAAAATTTTAAAAGTGAAAAGAAAAATTTAAGGATAAAAAAAAAAATGAACAAATATAAAAGAGACAAAATATAATTTACCCTTTTTGTTTAGATTGACATATTGAAGAACATTGTAGGAAGCCAATTAATCTGAGTGAAGCGTATAAGGGCGATCGCTTCTCAAAAAATTGAAAATATTTTGGGTTGGTTTGGGAAGTAGGTGGCTTTTTGGCTTTTTAATTTTTTTTTTAAAACTATTTTAGCCTGGGTTAAAAAGCTTAGCTTAGGAAGGATTTTTTGACTTTTTGAGTTTTTAAATTTTTTTGTGAGAAAATAATATAATAATTATGGATTGGATGTGATATTTTGTTTGTTGAGACTAAAATAATCTATTTTATCTTTTGTGATTATTTTAGCCACCAACCATCTTTCCAAACAGACCTATTATATTGTACTAGTAATGATTAAAATAATTCCCAAAAAAAGGGGTGCGCCTTGCATTGGTTGAGATATATTTAACTTCTCTTTTATTTAGATAGAAGATATCTATTAAATTTGAGAAAAAAAAAAAAAAATTATCACCCCCTATTAAGGGCTCAACAAAATAGGTACGTAAAATTCTCCATTTCTTTCAACTTTTTTCTCCCTGACTAGGCGTGAATAATTCTTCTTACTTTTTGTATGTTTCATATGTTTTGCTCATAATTTCCACTTTTGCTTAGGTGTAATGACTTTTCTTCATTATTTATGTTTATCTAGTATTAAAGTTGTTGGCAGTTGCTATCTCAATAGATTGATTTGTCCTGTATTAATACTACTTTGTATTAACTGCATTTTTAACTATGAAATTTGACAGGATAAATTGTTTGGTAAGATAGAATATAATTTTATAAGGATTTGGATTTCTCTCAAAGTTTACTTGGGAGAATTTGAGGAACTCATGGGACTCACTCAAATCTTATTTTGATAATTCGAATGGTTCATTTTGTAGAATTCTTAAATTTATATCATTCTTGAAAAAACTTAAATCGATCTGATAATTTGTTCTCCAAAAAATTAAAAGATGAATTACAACTCAGTGTATTATTGCAAAAAAAAATAAATAAATAAAAAAATCAAGTGATTAAATTCATAAATTTTTTCACTAATCAATAAATATTTAACAACAAACCACCGATATGTAATTTTTTTCAAAATTAAAAAGTCTATTTTTAAAAACATATACATTATTTATTTTTAAAAGAAAATAAACGTAATAAAATAAACAAGTCATGATCATTGAATGAGACTAATTTTTTTTTTATGAATAACATAATGATATTTTTCTCATAAATGATATCCTGACAATCCTATAAAATGGATAATTTAAATAATAAAAGTAAGAATCATGTGGACTTCACGAATCACTATGTTCTTTCAAGTTTAGATTTAACTGAATTTGATGGAAGACTAGCCCATTTATTTTGTAACTAGCTATGTTGAGAGAGAGAGAGAGAGAGAGAGAGTACCTGTGGATGGTGTGAGTGTGGAGTGAGTCTGTGTAGGGAGGAAGGTTGGGCAGCGGTAGGTTGGGCTGAGCGAGGTGAATTGACGGAAGGGAAGACCACAGAGAGGAGATTCCCTAATCTTCACATAAGCTACTTTTTTTTCTACTCTCTATATTGCCTACTTTCTAATATTCGAATAGCATGAATTGGAAATATGATTAAAAATTGATTTTTTTAATTTTATTTAATTTTTTAAAAAAATATATAAAAAAATATATAAGTAATGTGACATAAAATAAGTTAAAAGTTAACTTTTTAATTTTTTAATTCTTTTCAAATTGACCCATAATGGGTTTGGAACTTCTATAAGTCCTTTATTTTATTTTATTTTATTTTTTAATTTTAGTGATATTTTTAAAAATTATATTAATTTTTTAATATTTTTTTTGTCTGTTTTGTTTAAACGAATTAAAAAATAAAAAAATAATTAAAATAAGCAAAAAAAAACTTCATTATTTTTGTTTTTGTTTTTTTGTTTTTTTTAAAAATCTTTTCTCCATTTTTTTTGAATTTTTTTTCTAAGTTTTCGATTTGTCTCATCTTGTTAAATCTGGAAGTCTAAAATTTTTTGCAAAAATTTACAAAAGAAAAATTTACTAAAGAAGAAAATAATCTAAAAAAAAAAAACTACCAAAATAGGCTATAAATACCCCTGTTTGGTATACCTTTTAAATTAACTTTTGGATTAAAAATTTTAAAAACATGTTTGATTTGCAATATTTCAAAATTGTTTTTTTCTCCTCTCTCCTTCTCTTTTTTTTTTTTTTTTTCACACATCAATCAATTATTTTTTTCTCTTTTCTCTCTTCTCTCTTCTCTCTCCGTTCTCATTCTCTCATCTTCTATACATCAATTAATCAATTTTCTCTCATACCTATCTATTTAACTACCAAAAAAAAATAATACAAATCAACTATTTTCAAAATATATAACCAAAAAAATTTTAAATTTTAAAAATTCTTTTAAAAACTATCTTTCAAAATTAATTTTTAAAACCAAGCCTAACTTATTTAATCCGTACTATACTCCCAATGAATGCTACTTGGCCCTCATTTGGGATGTTGATATTTTGAGAAATTGGTAAAATATTAATTTTTTTGATTTTCTTTGCGACTTTTTAGCTTTTTGTGTGTAAAAAAAATAGAGAGGTAATGTGATTTAAGAAACCCAAAAATTCAAAAAGTTAACTTTTTACTATGTTGCCAAAATGCTAGTTAGTTTTTAAATTTTTTGATTATTTTAGCCAAAGAAAAAAAATTATGTTTAGAATGATTTGTGAATTTTTTTAATTAAATAGATTATTGTGAGAAAAAAATAATTGATTGGTATGTAAGATGTGACATTTTATATATTAATTATTTTAATTATTTTTTCTTTTTTTTCTATTAATTTTTTAAAAATTACTTGATAATAAACGCTCCTCTTGGACCACTCATTATAATTTTTATTTATTTATTTTTTTTTGTTAAAGATAAGGGTGACTCGGATTGAATAATTTGGAAAGGACAACTGATTATAAATTTTATTTTATTTTATTTTATTTTATTTTTATTTTTTTGTTAAAGGTAAGGGTTATTTTTTATTTATTTATGTTTTTTAGATAAGGGTGACTCCCATTGAATAATTTGGAAAGGACCACGCATTATAATTTTTTTATTTTTTATTTATTTATGTTTTTTAGATAAGGGTGACTCCCATTGAATAATTTGGAAAGGACCACGCATTATAATTTTTTTATTTTTTATTTATTTATGTTTTTTAGATAAGGGTGACTCCCATTGAATAATTTGGAAAGGACAACTGATTATAAATTTTATTTTATTTTATTTTATTTTATTTTTATTTTTATTTTTTTTTGTTAAAGGTGAGGGTGACTCCGATTGAATAATTTGGAAAATATTATAACGCTCAAAATTTTCACCAAATAAATTATTAAATGCCTTACATAATGTGGGCTTCATAAAATTACAAACTCTACATTTATGTAAAATATTTAGTCATTTATTTAGTAGAAAATTTGATATTCTTATCCTTGGCTGAATAATTTTTCTGGGTTTTTGTCCATGGTGCGATGCAGCTGGCACGTTGCACTTTAGAGATAAATTTTTTTTTGATAAATTATAAATACATCTCTTTAAATTTGTTTAAAATACGAATTATTTTATGTAGTTTAAAAAATTATAAATACCTCCTTATCATAATTTTTTATTTAACAAAATTAATTAAAAAAGTGAAATTTCTAACTATTCACTTATACAATAATAAAATTATCTGAATTATTAATTGAAATAAAATTTTAACATTATGAAAAGCTATTAATTAACTTGATGATTTATTAATAAAAAGACCTATTTATTATAAAATTAGAAACCCTAGGGGCATAATGTAATTTTTAGAACTATAAAGGATAATTTGTAATTTAAGGGATTGTTTGGAAAGTGCTAGATTAGTATACTTTTTGACTTTTTATAAAAAAATGTAAAATATAGGTTGGGTTTGAAGTGATATGGTAGAGAAGTGATGTGTCTCAAATACGAAATGATATGACCTGAATAAGATGATTGTAATTCAAATAAGATGATGTGCTAAGCACATGCCAAACAAGCACTAAGTAAACCTCATATAGTGTGTTTGTAATTTACCCAAAAATTTATGATATAACTTTAATATATAGTGAAAATTTACACTAGGGCGTGTTTGTTTGGTAGAAGATTAAATTTTGTGTTTAATAGGGTGGATAGTCTAATGTTTAGTTGAAAAAATAAAGTTTGTACTATTAGTCCGGTCGGATTAATAATCTCTTATATATGAGATAACTCATACCATGGAACGGTGTGGGATAGAAATGAGCGAACTGGGCCAACTTCCCAATTAATTAGTTAAATGACGAAATTAACTCTCAAGTATATATAAAATTTATTATTTTAATTTTTTGATTTTTTTTTTAAACATGTTGAATTATTTTAAATCTATGTAAATTAATCTTATGATATATTAGGGGTGTTTGGTAACAAAGATTTTAGCTTATTTTAGGTTAAAATTTATAAAAAGTCAAAATAGGCTAAAATAACTAATAAGATAATGTCACATTAAACCCATAATTATTTTACTTTTTCCCTCACAAATATCGCATACAATTACAAAAAAATTCTATCATCTTCCAAAACAAAAAAATTTTAGCCTATTAAAATAGCCAAAAACTAAAATAGCCTACCAAAATAGCAACTTCCCAAACACACACATAATTTTATTCTCTTTTTTTTTTTTTTTTTTTTTTTTTTTTTAAAAAAATCAAAAATTCAAAATTTTTTTTAATGATTAATAATTAAAGTTATTAACATTTTTATAAATTTATAATTATTTTGTGAAAGAGTCACTAAATTATAATTCTCTCTTAAAATTGTGTAATTTTTTTATTTTTTTATTTTTTTGACTTTTTAAACTATACACTTTTCTATGATTGGTTGTGTACCTAGAATTATTGTACTAGTATAGAATATGTTTCCAAATTATGCTCATTTTTGCCCAGTGTTATCAAAAAAACACTTATCCCTAACCGATATTAGCTTACACTTCTCAATCTCTACACTTTTCCAACAAATTGTGTTTTGAAATATACGTTCAAAATATGATACATTTTCATTTTAAAATGATAAATTTAACGAATCAATTAACTAAAATCTAAGATCAGTAAAGTTTGAACCTGATAAAATAATTAAAAAAAATGATCATAAATTCATTATATTCATAGAAGTGTGTTGCTACATGATTAATTGAGAGAAAAATATATATTTTATTAGATATCTAATTGTTAAAAAAATTATTTTGTGTGTTGGTGGTTTGAGATTTTACTTTTTTAATGGATTTTTTTTAAGTAACTTTTTAAAAATAACTTTACATTTTAAGTTATACTCGACTAAAAAAAAGTAAAAATTAAAAATTAAAAAAAAAATCACTAAAGAAAAAGAAATGGCTAAAAAGAGTTGACTTTTTTTTAGTAGACATTTTTAGAATTTTGATTTTTACTTTTTAGATCATTCTATACAAAATGAATTAGAAAATTAAATTTTTTTAACATAAATTAACAAAATCAGTAAAAATGTGAAGCATGAATGATGATCCCTATTTTGTATACCAAGTATTACCCTTGTTTTGAACGACAAATCTTGAAAAGTCCGTACGTGCTAGGGGACTATAAGCATTTGTAGCACAACCTTTGTTAATGTCACCCCTTGGAACTTGAAAGCCTTGAAAGACTTAAATTATTAAGACTTGAAAGATTGTTAGATAAACTTGATTTGCCCTTGGATTTTGTACAAGATGTGATGTGCCTTGATTTGATAAAGATTTCGGTTATCATTCATGCAAACCCCTTTATTATTTATACCATTCACTGAGTATCCAAGCTCACCCCTCTCTATATATATGTAGGTGACGAGCAGGACGGTGGTGACACGTAGATGTACTTGCTACTTGTTTTAGATTATGCACTTTTGCCGCATCTTGAAGATTATGCTTCTTAATTGTATTTTATTGTATTTTGTATTTGATAGCTGAGAAGCCTTTTGGTCAAGATGTATTTTTGTACTTCATTTTGTTGTATTAAAGCTATGTATGAATGTATGCCATTCCATTTAACTTATGCACAGCTCTTATGGACTAATTAAATTTGTATATATTGCTTCCGCACATGTTAGCCCCATATGTAATACTCTGATTGTGTGTGAATTTAGAAAGTTGGCCTTCGGTAAATCTCGGATTACTGGCCATCATGGCACCATTCTACTAGGGGCGGAATGGGGTCGTGATAGCATGTCGAGTGGTATATATTCTTTTTTAAAAATATGATGCAAAACTAATCAAAATTTTGAATAGTTAAAAGATATGAGTGTATAAAATGAATTTATTGTTTTATGTTGTTTTTGTAGAATGATTGTAATACGCTAGCCAATAATGTTTTATGCCCGTGCCTAAAGGCACGGTGTCGATAATGTTTTGTTTGAATAATTTTCATTTATCATTCTCTCTTAAGCTAGGAACATTAAGAATCAAGTATACGTAAAATTCTGTTTTCCCATGACATACAAAAAATGAATAGATCACATACATTTAAGCAAGAGGATATCCTTTATTAT